CAGGGCCACACACATGAAAGCGCCTAGAAACTGCAAAGCACCTTACAGAAAGAACGGGCTATTACAGTAGTAGGAAAACCCACAGCCGTAATAAGAGAGAAGGAAGTCAAAATGGAGCAGGCAAGATCCAGCTCATGCAAAAGGAAAGCACTTTCTAACAGATTCCCCACCCCACCCCCCCACAAGAATGGAGGCTGTGATCACACCAAAATAATTTTTTGGCTTGAGAATGTGTAAGGGCTTCTTAATAGGTCTGTCCCACCCCAGACTCACTCAGGGCTCTAATCTCCTTTGACTGCAGGTGCAAACCTAAGAATGTTCTCCATCTGCCCAGAGCAAATCACTCAAAACCAGTCTCAAGGGTGGGAGTCCATTATGCCGGGGTCTCAGAGCCCCACTCTGCTACTCATGTGGCCTGCGCTGAGTGGCTTATCTCTTCTGTGCTTGTTCTTACCATCCTCAGAGTCAAGCTGGAAGACAGTAAGGCCAAAAAATTATTTGAGGGACATTCAAGTCAGCTAATCAAAGAGAAAAGGATGATTTAAATAACTAAAAGTAGGAAGCCAATTAGAGAGTCAGTGGGACCCCCTGTTGTGCAAAATATAAAATAAGGCCGCAAATGGGAAAACAGATGGAATCTTTTTTTTTTCTTGGCTTCATATTGAAAGATCAGAGATGTGAAATCAGAAGCCAAAGACAATGAAAAATGCTTATAACTTTCTTTTTTTTTTTTTTTGACAGGCAGAGTTAGATAGTGAGAGAGAGAGACAGAGAGAAAGGTCTTCCTTCCGTTGGTTCACCCCCCAAATGGCCGCCACTGCCTGGCACACTGTGCCAATTCAAAGCCAGGAGCCAGGTACTTCCTGCTGGTCTCCCATGTGGGTGCAGGGCCCAAGCACCTGGGCCATCCTCCACTGCCTTCCCGGGCCACAGCAGAGAATTGGTCTGGAAGAGGAGCAACTGGGACAGAATCCAGCACCCCAACCGGGACTAGAACCCGGGGTGCCGGCGCCGCAAGGCAGAGGATTAGCCAAGTGAGCTGCGGCGCCGGCCAAAATGCTTATAACTTAAGACATTAGGACCTTTGGATGAGCGCGTTGCGCCGGCCACAGCACGCCAGCCGTGGCGGCCATCGGAGGGTGAACCAACGGCAAAAGGAAGACTTTTCTCTCTGTCTCTCTCACTAAACAATCTGCCTGTCAAAAAAAAAAAAAAACACAAACAAACAAACAAACAAACAAACAAAAAAAAACCAGACATTAGGAGGAGCAGGCTTTTGGTTCAGTGGTTAAGTCACTACTTGGGGATGCTTTCGTCCCACATCAGAGTGCCTGGGTCCAAGTCTGGACTCTGCTTCCAATTCTAGTTTCATGCTAATGTGCATCCTAAGAGGTGCAGGTGATGGCTCAAGTAGTTGGGTACCTGCCAGCCAGGTGGGAGATCTGGGTGGAGACTCCTGGCTTTGGCCTAACTGAGGAGGATGGAAGATCTTTCTCTAGGCTCAAATAAATAAGTAAATAAGTAAAAATTAAGATAATAATAATAATAATAATAAAGAATTTAGGAGACCCAGGAAAAATTCCAGTTCTGAATTACCTGTTATCAAGGTTTGTGCCCTTGGGCAATTTATTTAAGGTTATTCAAAAAGTATGAATTAAATGCTACTGTGTACTTGGTGATCTAGAAGGTCTTGGTCACCTCTCCAACCCTCTGTGTTGTGTGTCACCACCACTAGATGACAGTCCCCCACAGAGTTACAAAAGATCTCGAGGGTGAAATCTGGAACTCCCAGCAAAAGGAACAGCTTCTATTTCCACTGAAGGATGGACGATAGGCAGTCTCATCCCTGAGAAGGGTTTTGAGATGCCCGTGAGTGCCTATTTCAGATTCATGCCATTTCTGGCATTGAGGGTGAGGAGTAGAATCCTTGAACACTATTGAATACTTAATGGTGGGCGTTTAGAGTTGAAGACTGTGTTCAATCAATAAAGTGTTTTGGTTGGGGAAAGCCCTGACCAAGAACCACAGTCTCCCCCTACCCCCACCCTGCTAATGTTTTAAGTATGCAAAAATATTACATGACAAACTGGGTGGGGTTGCTTCAAAGTGTTCTCCAGAGAAGACAGAGTAAATGGTGACCAGAGAGGTCAGAGAAAGTTTCTTGAGGAAACAAAGCTTGAGCTGAAACTGTAAAGAAAGGTTTCGGATGAGCAGGGAGGGTGCACAAGTAAACAATGTCCGAGAACCAGGGGTGCTCATCAGGACGGAGGAGACGGGCTTTTTCTAGTGGAAGGATGCATCATCGATATGCAGTGGGCAAGATGGCTGCTCATGGGGATGTAGGTGGAACCAGGCTCCAGGGCCTTAAGAGAGAAAGGAGTACCCAACATGATCTGCTGTTGAAAAGCAACAAGATTTCCAGAAGGCTTCAATCGTGTGACCCACTAATTTTCAGTGAAGGGATAATTAGACACCAACAGTTGAGAGAAGCAGTGGGTCTACTTGGTCTGTTTTTCAGGAGCTTTTGGACAAAGTATTATAGACATTTAAAATGGAGTCATTGTGGAATTGAGGGTGCTGCTTCTTTTTTTTTTTTTTTTTTTAATCAGGGCCTGAGACTCACATGGAGATAGGAAATAACAGATGGAAATAAATGGTCACTTCTCTGAATGAAAGAGGATTGAGTGCAGGCTGCCCCAAGAGACCATGCTGGGACCTGGCTGACTTAAATTTTTTATGAGTGATCCAGAAGAAGTAGAGCAAAGTGAAAATTTCAGGACTGCAGACCATAGTAAGCCCTTTCAGATAGGGACATGGAAAGGAGAAGGGAGTGGGGGTGGGGGAAACACCTGAAGGAAGGTAGAGAGTGGCAGATACCTGTCAACGGGGAAATGTAACATGACGCACTCTGACAGAAATAATCCACATGCAGGTGTTGGGTTCCAGGCTATCGGCTTTGACCCAGGAAGGGAATCAGGGAGCTACCGTAGACTGTTTCCTAAAGGCAGTGGCCTAAAGTGTTGCGATCAGGATAGTTGACAAAGGCATGGGCAGAAGCAGGACAGCACCTGGAAACCAAAGAAATCAGCCCTTCTGTAGCAAAGCCATAGGGTCTCTCATGTGGGGACAAGTGGGAGGTTTACATCTGTTGAAAGTTAGCGTCCCAAAATATCCAGAAAAGGGCCATAAAAATGACCCAGAATAGCTATTCTAAGGGAAACTTAAGCTTGGGGAGTGGGGGAGGCTTAGAGAGGCAGAACAATCAAAACCTGTAAAGTTAATAGGATATGGAAGAGGTAAATACAACCTTCTTTCCAAGTCCTGACAGATTCAAGGGAAGAGCCTGCTCATAATGCTTGAAATATCACAGGACTAAAAAGGCTTCAGCGTTGAGATCATCTAGCCCTACCTCTTACATGAAGGATGGTGAAATCCAAGCCTGGAGAGGGCAAGGAAATTGCTCAAGGTCACAGAAACCGCCAGGGTCAAGGTTAGATTAGAGCCCAGACCTCCTAAATTCCAGGCCAGGGTCTTTCCACCTCACCCTGTACACGCAGGAAGTCTCAAAAAAAAAAAAAATCCTACTTTCTCTAGGGTATACATTCATGAAATGCATTACTTGGACATGTGATAAAGCTGAAAGCACAAACAGGCTAGGTAAACTTTTCGCTGAGAGCCAGCCAGCAGTTATGAGATCTTAGGAGGACAACTGTCAGCTGCAGTGAGTGGTTCTTCTGCACACCGCGGTTTTATTTATTTTATTTTTTAAAATCATTTTAGTACCCATAAAAAAACCTTAGGATCCTCTCTTAGGGAAACTCACACTTGCAGATGTGAACACAGTCTTGCCCAGAATTCATGAACCCCTGAGTCCCGTGCCTAATTAACAGTTGCTGTTCGGGCAGATTCTTCTGAACAGACTGCTTCAACAAATACGTTCCATGTCTTAGGGTAACTCGGGCAATTGCTCAGATTTTCCCCAGCTACATACCAGTGTCCGACATGGTTTATTAGCATCGCAGACCTCTAGGCTGGGAGAACCTGGAGAAATTACCTAGTCCAACTACCCCTCCCTCATGTGATTTAGAAGTCATGGGTACATTCGAGGGTCAGCCTGCCTAGATTATAACCCCAAGTCCATCATTCACTGGGTGTGTGAACTTGGGCAAGGTACTTAAGCTCTCTAAGCCTCTATCCTCATCTGCAAAATGGGGGTGAAAATTGCAATCACCCGGCTGAGAGGCTGCAAGGATTAAACGAGCTAATTCATATACAGCATAGCACCAGACCTGGCACACAGTGAGTGTTCGGTGAATACCGGAGCTGCCGTTACTGTTACCATGCAGGCTTTATGCACGTACCCACCCAGTCCCTCCTTGGAGCTCTGGCTTGCACATGCCCGTGACGAGCAGCTCACCGCCTCCTGGGCTGGCTGAGCAGCTCCAATTGTTACAAACTTCTTCCTTTATGGAGCAGAAATGTGTGTTCTGGCACCCCCCACCCCCTCCTCAGGTAGCCCCGGTTCTGCCCTGTGGGGCCACCTCCACCTGACAGTCCTTCAGACAAGACAACGACAGGGTCCTTCCGGCGCTCCCCCCCCCCCCTTCCCCAGCTTGAACATCCTCGGTTTCTTCTCCCAACCCACAACACACTGGCGGCGCTTACTATTTACTCCGAGGCGTTGTACGGTTTCCCTCTCACACACAGTCATGCAGGCCACACACCCCACCGCCGCCACAACAGTCCCGACCCTCCCGGTCCGCCCCCGCCCGCTGCCCCTGTCCGCGGTGCTGAAGCAGCTCCGGGCCGGAGCGGCCTCTGCGCGGCCCTCCCCAGCCCCCGCCCTGGGCCGCGGCCGGACCCCAGGCGCTGACCCCCGGCGCGCCGCCTCGGCGCCCCCAGCCACAGCCGCAACCCGGCCCCGGCCCAGCCCCGGCGCCGCCCCTCGCTCTGCCCAGAGCCCCCCGAGCCCGCGCCCCGGCCCGGCGCGCCAGCCCCACCTGCCCGGCGAAGGGCGCCTCCGCCTCGGTCGCCCGCGCAGCCGCCACCGCCGCCGTCCGGTCGCCGGCCCCCGCCGCCGCCACCGCCGCCCGCGCGGCGCCTGGGAGGCAGCAGAGCGCGGGCAGCAGCAGCAGCAGCAGCAGCCGCCGCCCCGGGGCCCGCCAGCAGTTCCAGCGCGGGGCCCGGCCCGGCGGCGGCGGCGGCGGCGGGCCCCGCGCGGCGCGGCCGCCCCGGCTCCTCGGCATCCCGGCGGCGGGGCCCGGCCGCCCGGCTGCGATGGCGGCGGCGGCGGCGGCGGCTACGGCCGGGTCCTCCCGCTGCAGCCGCTGCGGAGCCGCCGAGTCACGGCGCCGCGGACACGCGCCTGGCCCGCCTGCCTTCCGCCGCCCGCTGCCGCCTCGGTCGCCAGCGCGCCCCCGCCTCCGCGCGCCCCGCCCCGGCAGGGGGCGGCCAGGGGCGTGGGGGCAGCACCCGGGCCGGACCTGCGGGGGCGCGGGCTCGGGGCGGGGCCTGGGGCCGGCGCCGAGCAGCGGCGCTGCGGAGAGGGTCGGCGGGGCTACCAGCGCAGCTGCAGGGGCAGGGTCCAAGGCGGTGGGAGTGGAGGAGGGGGCGTGGGGTCAGGCCCGAGGGAGAGCTAGGAGGCTGCTGGAATAATCTTGCGGGTGGAATCACGGGATGGCTCTGGGGGAGGACGGCCGGGACTCGGGGTCCGAAGCCGAAGGAACAGCACTGGGGGAGAGGGTCTGAGGCCTGACGCTGGAGGAGAGGGGGTGAGAGACAGCCTAGGGGAGGGAACTGAGGCACGGCCCTAGGTAAGGGTGGGATTGGAAGAGGAGCTGAAGAAATCGTCCTGGGTCCAAGGGGTTGCCCCTGGCAGGGTGAGAGGTGTGGGGCTGCTGAAAGGATGACCTGGGGGACATTAGGTGACGTTCAGGTGAAGCTCATTCTGCCCTCCCCCAACCCTCCAAGAGGGAGCGGGCTCACCAGCTGGAATGATCATTTTTCGTGCAAAACAGGCTATAGTTGTTGAGCACTTTCTATGTGTAGGGCTCTGGGCTACAATAGATATTAAACAACAACGACTAAAAAGAAGGGCGATTCCCCAAAGCGTGGGCATTTACAGCTTGGTGAGCAAAAGGAGCACAGAGAACAGGACAGGGGCCTGCGCTGTGGCGCTGTGGGTTAAGCCAGCTTCCTGCTAATGCACCTGGGAAGGCAGTGGAAGAAAGCCCAAGTCTTTGGGCCCCTGCACCCATGTGTGGGAGACCTGGAAGAAGCTCCTGGCTCAAGCCTGGCCCAGCTTGGTCGTTGTGACCATTTGGGGAGTGAACTAGCGGATGGAAGATCTTTCTCTGTCTCTCCTCTCTGTGTAACTCTGCCTTAAAAATAAATAATTAAAAATAGTTTTAAAAATAAAAAAAAGTTTTTAAAAGACAACATGCACTAGCTGTGAAAAAGGTTGCAGGCAGGTGCTCCCAGGCCAATAGAGGTACTGTGTTGGAGGGAGGACTCCAGCTGGGCCCTGAGGGAAAGGCTGCAGTTAAACCAGGGGAGGGAGCAGAGAGGGCCTTCTGCATAGGCCGTTGAGGCCGTCCAGGGTGTGGTTGGGCAGTTCCCATAGGGCAGCGCTGGGAAAGGAGGGCGGCAGGACAAGGTGGGGAACACTGGGATAATGACCTTGGGCTGTATTCCCAAGGAAACTGGGGAGAGGGTGTTGGCTGCAGTTTGTTTGCACGGAAGAACTTGTGAATGGTGTTCTACCATTACCCGGTAATTTGGAGATGTGCAAAGGGCACGGGCTTTAGAGTCAGGCCTAAGGCCTAGGTTCAAATCTTGGCTCTTTTATGTTTTTAGAAAACAGTGCCAATATTACTGCATGAGGTTGCCATGAGGATGAAATGTTCTATGTTGGTTCTCCTCTAGTAGAGACTATTACCTCCCGACCCCTGTGCCCCCAGCAGAGAGGCTGGAAGACACCTGCAAAGGTCTAGACAGGAGGAAATAATAATAGTAAAAAAAAGTTATCATTTATTGAATGCCTAACACATACCAGGCTCTGGGCTAAGCACTGTACTGCATTGTAACTCATTTAGTCTTCATAGATAAATCCTGTGAAACAAATACTGGTGACCTCAACTTGCTTGCATTTGCCAAACTCAGTGTGGTTTTTGGGCAAGTCACTTCATATCTTTAAGCCTTGATTTCCTTATTTTTTTAAGATTTATTTATTTATTGGAAAGTCAGAGTTACACATAAAGAGGAGAGGGAGAGAGAGAGAGAGAGAGGTCTTCCATCTGCTGGTTCACCCCCAACTGGCCACAATGGCTGGAGCTGTGCCAATCTGAAGCCAGGAGTCAGGAGCTTTCTCTGGGTCTCCCATGCGAGTGCAGGGGCCCAAGGACTTGGGCCATTTTCAACTGCTTTCCCAGGCCATAGCAGAGAGCTGGATTGGAAGTGGAGCAGCCGGGTCTTGAACCGTCACCCATATGGGATGCCAGTGCTTCAGACCAGGGAGCTAACCTGCTGCGCCCGCAGCTGATTTTCTTATTTTTTAAAAAGGTTTATTTATTTATTTGAAAGAGTTACAGAGAAGTAGAGGCAGAGAAAGAGAGGTCTTCCATCTGCTGGTTCACTCCCTAGTTGGCTGCAACAGCTGGAGCTGTGCCAATCTGAAGCCAGGAGCCAGGAGCTTCTTCTGGGTCTCCCATGCAGGTACAGGGGCCCAAGCACTTGGGCTATCTTCCACTGCTTTCCCAGGCCATAGCAGAGAGCTGGATCAAAAGTGGGTCAGTCAGGACTCAAACCGGCACCCATATGGGATGTTGGCTCTGCAAGCAGTGGCTTTCCCCATTATGAAACAATGTTGGCCCCTTATCTTATTTGTAAAATGAAACGAATGATCCCGCCCTTTCCACATGAAAGGCTGGACTCATTTGTAAACCACGTGATAAACTAACCAGATGCTAGGAAAAACTTTGATATTGATCAGAAAATGTTATATGTGTCCCAGAGTTCACTGTGGGAAGACTGGAGCCCCCTCTTCTGTTTACCTTCTCTCTTATTTCTTCATTCAACAAAGATTTATCAAATGTCTTTTGGGTACTAGAAACTGTGAGAGAGGCTAGAGATATAAACAGATTCAGTTACAGTTGCTGTCTTAAGGAAGACAGTTGTGGAAATAAACACTTACATGACTAACAAGAAGATAATGTAATATGAGCTATAAGAGAAAAGAGAAATATTATGGGAGGAAAGAGGAGGGAACAAGCAACTGTCTAGAGATGGCAGAAGGTGAGACGGGTCTTGAGTCAACCAGCTGGAATTTGCTGTGCAGAGTAGAAGGGAACTGTGTGTACAAAGGCACAGATAGATGTGAATGCCAAAACCCTTGCCACAGTAATGCCAAGACACTATTTTCTTCCTTAAAAAGCAGTTTATTTTCATCTATGTGAAATGCAGAGAGAAAAGGAGAGAGACAGAAAGAGAGAGAGAGAGATTGATTGATTGATTTACTATCCACTGGTTCACTCCCCAAATGTGTGCCATAGACAAGACTGGTACAGGCCAAAGTCAGCAGCATGGAACTCCATCCAGGAGTAAACCATTGGATGATAGATCTTTATCTATCCATCTCTCTGCCTTTCATATAGATTCAGTAAAGAAAGAATTCTAAAATTCAGAGGCAACGGTGTGCCTGGCAATCTTGAGAAACTGTGGAGAGCTGTGTTTGTGGGATGGAACAAGAGTGAGCTTTAGAAGATGAGGGCTGGTTCACTCCCCAAATGCTTGCAGCAGCCGGGGCGAGGCCAGGCTGAAGTCAGAAGCCTGGAACTCTATCTGGGTCTTTCCTGTGGCTGGCAGGAACCCAAGCACTTAGGCTGTCATCTGCTGCCTCCCAGGCATATTAGCAGGAAGCTGAATTGGAAGCGGAGATGGGACTTGATCACAGACACTCCCAACATGGGATGCAGCCATCCCAAGCAGCACTTAACCCCCTGCACCAAAACCATGGCCCCTGACTTATGGTTCAACATAAGTCATTGGTTACTTGACTGGGTTGGAAGGCTATAAGCAGAAAGACCAACTGGGATCCTATTGTAGTAATCCAATTGGTGGCTTGGATTAGGGTTCAGGTGGAAATAGACACAGCTGGATTATTTTTTTGGTTGTTTAAGATTTATTTATTCAAAAGTCTGAGTGATAGAAAGGGAGAGATCGGGCTGGGTGTGGGGGTAAGATTTTTCATATGTTGGTTCACTTCTCAAATAGCTACAGCAGCCAGGTCTGGGCCAGGCTGAAGCCAGGAGCCAGTAATTCCATCTTGGTCTTCCACGTGGGTGGCAGGGGCCCACGTCTTGGGTCATCTTCTGCTGCCTTCTCAAGCACCTTAGCAGGAAACTGAGATGGAAGTAGAACATGCAGGACTTGAACCAGCATTCCAGTATGGGATGCCAGCCTCATAAGTGCAGGTTTTATGTGCTATGCTGCAACACTGGTCCCTCTAGTTGGAGTCTTGATAGATTTTTGAAAACAGAGTTGACAGAATTTGACAATGGCATGGATATTGATATGAGAAAAATAGTGAAATTATAGCAAACTCTTTGACCTGGGCATCTAAAGAATAGAATTGCCATGATCTGTCAGAAAGAAAACTGCAAGAGGAACAGGTTCAAATAGAAGTATCAACAGCTCGGTTCTGGTCATATTTAGTGGCAGATGTCTATTAAACACCCAGCTGGATATGACAGGTGGGCTGTTTGTATATGGGTCTGAATTCAGGAAAGAGTTTGGGAGTAGAATATGAATTTGGAGGTTCTCAGAATAAAGATAACATTTGAAAGTCAAGGGAACAGAAGAATTACTTAGGATGTGAGTATAGGTAGAGAAGAAAAGAGACCCATACTGGGTCATGGAGCAATTCTGATATTTGGAGGCTAAGGAGATGAAGAGAAAGCAAGGAAAGACACTGAGAAGGAATATCCAGAAAGAAGAAAACTAAGAGAGTGAGAAATTATGGAAGCCAAGTGAAGAAATTGTCTGGAGGAAGAGAGATCAGTCAACAGTGTCATATGGTCAAATACCATAAAGACCAAGCAATGATTATTGGACTTAGCATTGTGGAGGTTATTGGTGATTTTGAGAAAAGCTGTGTTTTGGCGAAATGCAGGGGACAACAATGAGACTGGAATAGGTACAAGATGGAATAGGAGAGGAACTGAAAGTGTGGAAGATATAAACACTTTTCAAGGAATTTTGCTAC